TTTTTTAATGATAAGATAAAATAAAGGCAGAAAAAAGATCTTCTGGAGGCATCACCATTTCTGACTTCAAGCTCTACTATAGAGCTATAGCAATGAAAACAGCTTGGTATTGGCACAAAAACAGACAGGAGGACCAATGGAATTGAATCAAAGACCCTGCTATTAATCCACACACCCACAAACACCTGATTTTTGACAAAGAAGCTAAAATTATACAATGGAAAAAAAGAAAGCATGGTCAATAAATGGTACTGTCATAATTGGATGATGAAATGTAGAAGAATGCAAATAGATCCATATCTATCCTCATGCACAAAATTCAAGCTGAAATGGATCAAAAACCTCAACATAAATTCAGCCATGCTGAACCTTGTAGAAGAAAAAGTGGGAAGTACACTTGAATGCATTGGCACAGGAGACTACTTCCTGAATGTAACATCAGTAGCACAGACACTGTAATCAACAATTAACTAATGGGACCTCCTGGAACTGAGAAGCTTCTATAAGGCAAAGGGCCTGGTCAACAAGATAAAATGGCTACCTATGGAATGGGGGAAAACTTCACCAACCCCACTTTGTACAGAGGACTGATCTCCAAAACATTCAAAGAACTCAATAAACTATATATCAAAATATCAAATAATCCAATTTAAAAATGGGGTATAGATTCACCAGTCTGTGGTGGCACATGCCTTTAATCCCAGCACTTGGGAGGCAGAGGCAAGCGGATCTCTCTGAGTACAAGGCCAGCCTGGTCTACAAAAGCTAATTTCAGGACAGGCTCCAAAGCTACAGAGAAACCCTGTCTCAAAAAACAATAAGATAAAATAAAAATAAAAATGGGGTATAGATCTAAATAAAGAATTATCCACAGAGGAAGGTCTAATGACTGAAAGACACTTATGGAACTGCTCAACATCCTTAGCCATCAAGAAAAGGCAAATCAAAAATAACTTTGAGATACCATCTTGCACCAGTCAGAATGGCTATGATCAGAAGCACTAATGACAGCATATGCTGGAGAGGATGTGGAGTAAGGGGAATACTCCTTCATTGCTGGTTGGAGTGGAAGTTTCCCAAAAAATTTGGAATCAATGTACCTCAAGACCCAGCAACCCCACTCTCGATCATATACCCAAAGGACGCAGACCCATACCACAAGGACATTTGCTCAACTATGTTCATAGCAGCATTATTTGTAATTGCCAGAACAATTGCCTGGAAACAACCTAGGTGCCCTTTAACTGAAGAATGAAGAAAATGTGGTTCATTTACACAATGGAATACTGCTAAGTGGGAAAAAAAAACAATGACATCTTGAAATTTGCAGGCCAATGGATGGGACTACACAAAAACATCCTGAGTGATGTAACTCAGACCCAGAAAGACAAACACAGTATTTACTCACTCATAAGAAACTAGAAACTTCCAGGAAACTACAAGGATGACTCCAGCTAAGAATCTAAGCCTTGGTGGAAAGGGTACCTAAATTGCCTCTCCCCTCTAATCAGATTGATTACTACCTTAATTGTCATCATAGAACCTTTGTCCAGTAACTGATGGAAGCAGAAGCAGAGATACACAGCTAAGCACTCCTGGACCAAAGTCCAGTCACAGAGAAGGAGGAGTGATATTATGAGCAATGGAACCAAGACCATGATGGATATACCCACAGAAACAGCTGACTTGAGCTAATTGGAGTCCACTGACCCCATACTGACAGCTGGGGAACCAGCATAAGACCAAACTAGGCCCTCTGAATGTGGGTGACAGTTGTGTGGCATGGGCAATTTAAGGGGTCACTAGCAGTTGGACCAGTATTTAACCCAAGTGCATGAACTGGCTCTTTGGAGTCTAGTCCCTGTGGATAGACACCTTGCTTACTTTAGATATAGGGGGGCCTTGGTCCTGGATCAAGTGATGTGCCAGACTTTGTTGACTCCCAATTAGAGGCTTCACCCTCTCTGAGAAGTGTATGGAGTATGGGATGGCAAGAAGGTGGGGGAGTGGGAGGATGGGAGGGAGAGGGAACTGTGATTGGTATGTAAAATAAGATTGTTTAAAAAATAAAAATTGCAACACATGTATCTGGAAAAGTGTTACACTAATACACAGGAATCTATCTATCTATCTATCTATCTATCTATCTATCTATCAATCATCTATCTATTACCTATCTATATATCTATCAATATCTATCGTCTTTCTTCTTACTCTCTTCCCCCCTCTCTCTTTTCCTTTCTTTTGAGATAGGGTCTCTCTTTGTTGTAGTAAGGAGACCACTTGTTTGTTTCCCGGCTGCCCAGACTACAGAAATAATCACACAGAAACTGTATTAATTAAATCACTGCATGGGCAATTGCCTAAGCATGTTGCTAGCTAGCTCTTACATGTCGAATTAACCCATCTCCATTATTTTATATTTTACCACGAGCCTCTACTGGCAAAGTTTAAGCATGTCTGCCTCTGGTGGCGGCTCCATGGCTTCTCTTTAACTCCACCTTCCTTCTCCCAGCATTCAGTTTAGTTTTTCCTGCCTAGCTTTGTTCTACCCTATCAGGCCAAGTTAGTTTCTTTATTAATCAATGATATTCACAGCATACAGAGTGGAATACCACATTACTTTGTAGCTCTGGCTGTTCTGAAACTATGTAGACCAGGTTGACCTCGAACTCACAGAAATCTGTCATCCTCTGATTCCCAAGAGCTGGGATTAAAGCCATGCCTGTCTTCACAACATTATTTCTGCAGGCAAATGTTCCAAACAGAAATATATATTATCTAAAAGAATTGAATACTACTTTCAAAACAATGCATCACAATGAAAAAAGTCTATGCGAAAATGTGGAAAATTTCATTTATCACTAGAGAAATGCTTACTAAACTTACACTATTGTATCATCACATGCTCAGTAGAGTGGTTGAAATGATAACAGAAAGTGTTGACAAGACCATAGAGCACCTAGAACTCCCATTCCATTGCTTTTTGCTTAAATTTTACCATACTGCTAATCAGTCCTGAGTATACCAGACAAGAGGTCTACAATTGAGATGTATCATTATCCTTTGGGATCCTTTTCTTTTCAGAAATGTGGAATGTACTGCCCTTGAACTTACAAACCTCCCTACTGTGTCTCACCACAGCTGGGATTACAGACACATGCCGCTGTCACTGGTACAGTAAGACTATATTTTTTTTGGAAAAAAATCTTACAATATAGGCTAAATCTCAATGTATCATCACATTTTAACTCACAGTAATCCAAGCATTCAAAATAAAAACATATTACAACAAAATGACATGTACAATAATGTTGGTAGCATTGCTCTTTAACAATGTTCAAACTTGAACACAAACATAGTTCACCAACTGTAGTAGACACGGAATCAAGGCAGACTTCTACAGAACAGTGACATAAAACAATGAAAAGAAAACTAGTTCGGACAACCTGTCACAGGTGAACTTCACATAGTTAACGTTGAACGACACACGACCAGAACAAGAGAGGAACACTCTAAAAACACAATTCATAAAAGGTCTAACAAAGAATAACGTGCAATGATACCAGTCAATATATTGCTTTTATAGAAAGAGTTAGTCACAAAATAATGGCCAGAGGGGGCATGGCATGTTTTTGGACATTTTAGTTTTTCTTTAGTTTCTGCTTATAGAAATATATTAACTGTGGAAAATATTTTTGTTGTGACAGTTCTGTCTGTATGTTCTACATCTAAACAAAATTAAATTATGTAAGATTCATTTTTTCTGTATACAATTAATAAAATATCAAGGTTTTTCATGCTTTTGAAAGAATTTTATTAAGATTACTATATCATATTAAGATACTATATTATAAATATACATTCACTTGATAGTAGCTCAGCAAAGGTAGGTTTACACCGCCAATATTTAGGAGTTGACATACACGGTATCAGGAGGAACGCCTGTGTCTCAAAAGCAGGCTTAGAATTTAGGATGACAGAACTATATGCAATCATGAAAATGAACACTGGGTGGCGCCATTGACTAAGAGTGAGAATGACGGTCTCGGCAAATACCCAGGAAAATAAAGAGTGAGCTGAAAATCAGAACGCTGTCTGCTCCCCAGAAGGAGAAGATATCTAAGTGTCAACTAGAGGAGAAATCCCCGGGGTTGGTAAGACATTAAAGAAGATTTAATTCGAGCTTATTCACCAAACTATCTCTGGATTGAAACCAAATTGAAGAAGCAGCACCCTCTGGACTGCATCTGAACAATGGAGGCAGCTCTAGCAAAAACGCCAGAGAAAAGGCAAGTCGTTTTTATTGTTGTGTTGTTGCTTTTGTGGGAGGCTGGTTCTGAAGCAATTAGATATTCCATGCCAGAAGAAACCAAGAGTGGATATTTGCTGGCTAATCTGGCAAAAGATTTGGGGCTCAAGGTAGCAGAACTGACCACTAGAGGGGCGCGAATTCATCATAGAGGAAACAAAGAGCTCTTGCAAATGGATGCTGAAACCGGGAATTTGCTCCTGAAGGAAAAACTAGACCGCGAGGAGCTGTGTGGGGCGACAGAACCCTGTGTGCTGCGCTTCCAGCTCATACTGGAAAACCCTGTGCAGTTCTTCCAAACTGACCTGCAGCTCACAGACATAAACGACCATTCTCCAGAGTTCCCTCACAGGGAAATGCTCCTAAAGATCCCGGAGAGCGCACAGCCAGGCACTGTGTTTCCTCTGAAGGCAGCTCAGGACCCTGACATAGGCAGCAATGCTGTTCAGAACTACACAGTCAGCGCCAACCTCCACTTCCATGTCGTTACTCACAGTCGTGCTGATGGCAGGAAATACCCGGAGCTGGTGCTGGACAGAGCTCTGGACAGGGAGGAGCAGCCTGAGCTCACTTTAACCCTCACTGCTGTGGATGGAGGGTCACCACCCAGGTCTGGGACCACCACAGTCCGCATTGAAGTAGTGGACATCAATGATAACGCTCCCCAGTTTGTACAGTCGCTCTATGAGGTTCAGATTCCTGAGAACAGCCCCTTTGGTGCCTTAGTTGTGGCAGTTTCTGCCAGGGATTTAGATGTTGGACCTCATGGGAATGTAGTCTACTCTCTGTTTCAAGGTGATGGAGCTTCTCTGCCATTTGTTATAGACGAGGTCACAGGAGAAATTCGCCTTAAAATGCCATTGGATTTTGAGGCAACTCCCTATTATAACATGGAAATTGTAGCAACAGACAGCGGTGGCTTTTCAGGAAAATGTAGTGTAGCTATACAGGTGCTGGATGTGAATGACAACGCCCCTAAACTCACCATATCTTCGCTCACTAGTTC